AAAGCTTACAACATGTATTTAGAACTATCAGTATCGTGATGACAACATTATTAAATAATTAAGCCAGCAATAACCATGCATATTTTCCATCAAATTAAAATGAAAAAAAGAAATGTTTCCTACGATGTCAATTTAAACTGCGAAAAACATTTTAAAGTTGCAAAAATTAGTTAATGTTATACGAAGCATTCCATGTTTTCGAGCATGTGAAGGGGCTAAACTCTGATGTTTATTTTGATGTCAAATATCATAATTGATTTCAAAGACCGTGATTTATAAATTATATGAAGTCGATTTTATCGTTATTTTGAGACTTATCATTAAATTGATAATCATATATCACTTAGGACAACCAAAATCAAATAGTAGAAGCTTAAAAGATTGATATAAAAATCCTCCATTAAACTGTTGAATTTATGTGTCATTGAAGAAACATATTTTATTTATAAATTCAAAAGTTCGGTATGTTTCTTATATTTATGTATTTTCTATCTATTTTCTGTGTGTACTGAAAATAACTAGTAACATACCTATTTATAAAGGTAAAAACCAAACTAAACTAGGACTAGGAACTACTCTAACTAATAAATCTTAATTAAACATAAATAAGTAAATATCATAAATAATAAATCCTAAACAACTAGGATTCCTACTCCAACTTTGAATTATTATTTCCAACAGTCATCCCACATAGAGGCGTTAGCATCTTAGCGAAACGTTCAATTACAATTAACGAATAATGTAGTATATATTCGATTGATCTGTAGCTGGAAATCGAACCCGGTCTCAAGGGTGGTTGTTTTGGTTTGTACCAACGGTACAAGGGTACCATATGCTCCTCATGGGGCATTGCTCATTATATTCTAATATTCTCAAAATAAATATACTTATATACACATAATTTTTTTTGAAGTTAATGAATGCATGTACACTCCACCTATATATATGTGAGTCCGCCTCTAATCCGGCATTATTCATGCATCTAGCTTCACAAAGTGGAGCGATTACTAATTTACTACTATATATATAAAAATATAAAAAAATAAAATAAAGGACAACTATAGTAATGTGGACAACTCCTTTATGTATAAGCAAAACACCGCAAATAGTATTCTAATTTAGTCCATCATGATTCATGGGTTACGTGCATCAATACCTATTTTAGAATTGTTATTTAAAATACAAAAAGAAAAAAATATTTTTAAAGTAGGATGATTTCATTTTCTTTTGCAATTCCTTAATAGTTTGACCTAATCATATTATAATATTATTTTATTAGATTAAAACGTTTTTATTTTACAAAGAATATAACAAGGGCATACTTGAACCTATACGTATATTATAAGAGCATATTTGATCTAATTTAATAATTGTTAATATGATATTTTAATATTAATAAAAATATTTCGTATGTATGGATATTACAAGAAGGAAAAAAGAGGAGGCAAGAAAGCGGCTAAACTTTAAATATATTACTTATTATAATATGGCTGTATTTTAAATAACATTAATTTTAAAAAATTGGCAAATTCTTAAAGCACAAAAATATTTAACTTTTATCTCTTTCTTTCTATTTTTGTGGGAAAATGAAAGCTTACAGCAACAAAAATAAAAAAAGTATTTACTAAAACTAGAAAATCAAATGTTAATGGCTTCATTTTGATAAGGTTAGGCCTATAATTTGCCACACAAAAAAGTAATTAGTTGGTAAAACGTTTAAGCTAATCCTATCCCTCTAGTAATCAAACAAAGAGTAATAATGTTTTTTTTTTCTAAGGAAATTTTAAACATTATATCAATAAAATAGAGTGTCTTTGGTGTGGAAATATTTCCCATAAAGATGTCTTCTAAAAGAGAAATAATTTAATTTTTTACTTTATGATGCTTGATAAGTTGGTTGAATATTATCATAAAAATATTTATATATAATTTTAAAAACATACTATAGCGCGAAGGTTAGATGAAGGGTGAATTGAGGGGTAGGGGCGTGGTCAGGCCATAAGCAGGGGCGTATCCACCCATACGTCGGAAAATTACACTATATATAGAGGTCAATTTTTTGTTCAATTAACATATATATTAGTATTGACACTTCTTAATACAAGTTAAAAGCTTAGTCTAGCGGTTAAGGAGTTGTGAAAAGTCCTTGAAATTGTGTGTTCTAGTCTTTAGTAGCAACGTAATTATATTTTTTTACTACAACCATCGATACCTCATAATTATATTTTTTTTTTACTACAACCATCGACACCCCTTAATGACGATCCCGGATCCACTAGGGTGGTGCTGGCTAAGGGGGTGGGAGTGTTAGGGTTGGGGAAGGAGCGAAGTACTCATTAACCAGATTAGTCAAAGGCTAAAAATACGATAATCATCATATATATTATTTATAAAGCTTATTTTAAAAAAATAATCAAATATAATTATAAAATATTTTTCTTTCTCGCCAAACACACCCTTAATGGATGTAGTTTTTTCTTATAAACATAGAGCAAAGATAATTATTAAATTAAATAGAAACGTGTGAATTGAAAATTAGTAGACAAGAATTGAATGTTCAAAAAAATACAGCGAATTTGGACAAAGCCAAAGGAAAATTGAATAAGGCTGGTAGATTTCAACGTTAATATATTGATTTTTTTCGATGAGCTAATTCATGGTTGTTATTCTTCGGATATAGTCATGTCTGCAAATTATATTGAAAAAGTAAATTATACTTGAAAATTTTTGAATGTCTAACTCGATCAAAAAAAAATATTTATGAGCTTTTAAACATAAAAAAACTCCATTTAGAAAATCACTTGTTCAATCAACTCGATCACCCTTGGCTTTGAACAACTCGATCACAGCCTTCATATTCATATTAAGTATATAATCTTGGCCTTAAATATTTCACCAAAATATGTTGAAATTGATTCTCATTGAGGGTACATGACTATAAATAAAGAGATTCCAACATTTATTTCCATCTTTTCTTTTCTTTTTTCAAAAATATATTGCCCCATATTCCATTAAATTTCATCCATGAATTTGTTTGCATATATACCTACTATAAAGTTAAACATTTATGATCTATTAAATAGATTTAAGTTATATGACGGTGTAAATTATTTTTAGACTATTAGTGTAGATTAATATAATAAGTTAATTATCATTATTTCACTTACCATTCTTTAAGAAAAGAAAAAAAAAAGTTAGCTGTCCTTTTGTGTAATCACTCAAAATTTTCATCAAATTTATTGAGACATTTAAATTATGATTTATGTTAATGTAACATTTCAATATATGATAAAGTATTCTTATTACACATTTTATTCAAATTATGAATATTTTTGCACGTTATCGGGATTATCCATTATATATGTAAATGAGATAAGTGTCAAAAATACACCCAAATTATATCTTTTTTTTGAGTTTCATACCTAAACTATTGAGAGTGTGAGTTTCATACCTAAACTATCATTTATTAGTTTGAGAAACACATATCTCTCTTTCATACCACTCTCATCATGGTGTGTGTAATACACTCTCTCTTTTATTTAAAAAAATTGTCACATCACACTCCACATGGACAAAACATTTCACCTTGACAAAAATTAAATAAATTATTATTATTAGTTAAAATTAAAATTATTATCCCAAAAAAATAATATATATTTTAAAAATAAAATGTAAAATATTTTTCTTACCCCACTTCATTACTTCCTCCACCCCGCGCCCACCTTCGCTTTCAAATTTTTTTCTCATTTTGTGTTATATATATAAAAAAGTATTTGTTACTTGCCGTCGCAAGACTTTTTAAAAATAAAATGTTATATTCGATACACAAGTAGAAAAAAAATCCTAAAAATATATGTACATATATAACATAAAATGAGAAAAATGTAAAATAAATAAATAAATTAGGAGTGGAGGGTTAAATAGGATGGGGTAGAATTTTATTTTTTAAAAATAAAATATTATCAATTTTTTTGGGGAATGAGTGGGTGGTTTTTTTTTTTCTTTTTTTTTTTTTTGTGGGGGAGGGGGGGAGGAGGTGGTGGAATGGGGTAAGAAAAATTTTTGGGATAGTAACGCTTTAATTTTTATTTTTTTTAATTAATATTAATAGTTTATTATTTAATTTTTGTCAAGGTGGAATATTTTATTCATGTGAAATGTCATGTGTTAAGGTTTTTTCAAATAAAAGAGAGAGTGCATTACACACACCACTGAGGTGTGTTTCTCAAACAAATAAGTGATAGTTTATAAATGAAACTCACACTCTCAATAGTTTAGGTATGAAACTAAAAAAAATAATAAAAAATTTAGGTGTGTTTTTGACACTTATCTCTATATAAATTAATCATTTTAGATAATCATAATCATTCTCAATTGAAACAGGTACAATGATTTACGCCTATAATTTGATACAAACATATTAGTAACATGATAGATTTTTACCACTCGACTAATTTGTACTCGTGCTATATATACATCCATTAAGAAGGTAATTAAATTAATTCATTTTATTTTTACCCTTCCACCTTTTTACTCTTTTAATAACTCGAACCCACTATTTAGAGCATGAGGTGAAAGATGTTTACTCCACAACCTCTATTATCAGTAAATTAATTCTTTTTTACTCTTTTGACAACTCGAACCACAACCTTAAGGTAGGAAATGGAGGCTACTTGTTGCTTCTTGTTAAAACAACCTATTTTGTCGGTAAATAATTTTTATTTTTCTTAAACTCCTCTTTACCGATTTCACCTTTTCTACTCTTTTTGATGACTCACATTCATAATCTTAAGGTGTGAGATTCGAATGCATATTTTTAGAGGAGAAAGTAAAAATGCTTATTACTTATCATATGAACAACCTATTTTGTTGGTAAACTAATTTTTATCAAGTACAATTTTTCTCGTATTTTTTTCGCCTATTATATAAGTGATCGAATCGTATAAATATAAAAAATAAAAAAAGGATTGAAAGAAAGGGCGCTATAAAGCAACGGTATCTTTCATTCTACTCAAAAGGCAAACCCAATCCCCTCCCTAAAAATAAAATAAAAAACTTTCGTACACAAATACCTCTATAAATCAAAATCTTTTTTTTTTACCTTTCAAACTAAAAAAAAACTTTGTAAATTCCCTTTTTTTCTTACTCTATATATAAATTCATTTTTCTCTCCATAAAAGAATAATTATCATCTTTATCACTACTCATTTTCTTCTTATACAACACAAATTTTTAATTTTTTTTTTTGTATATTCGTATAGCATATGAACAGAGTTGAAGTGGAATTGAATTAAAGGTCAGTTTTTTGATCATTTTTTTCTGATTGATTTGTGATTAATTCCCATTTTCATGATTTTTATTATTATTTTTTCAAGTTTGTTGATTTTTTTGCTGAATTGTTTTATGCTAAAGTTTCGAATTACTTCGTCAATAGGGAAAACGTGTAAATGGAGTAATTGGTGGTATGTAGTATTTTTATTTTTATTTTTTTTGTATTTGTATGGTTTTAGTGTATTTTGTTTTATTTTTATGGATTTTGGCGGGGAGAGGGGTTGAGGAGGAGAATTTATTTATTTGTTTGTAATTAAAAAGTTAGAAATTAGGTTTAAAATATTTGTTTGTATTAGTTGGTGATAAATGAAGAATTAGAATTTTTGAAAGTCAAATGTAAAAATTAGAATTAGGGATGATTATAGGATGGAAGAAATTTAGAACAAAATTGTTTGATGGGTGTTTTAGGGGTAAACAAAATTGACATTTTTTTATGGGGATTGTGGGAAAAGAATGAATTCATTTAAGTCGAGTTAAGGGTTTATCGGAAATAGTCTCTCTATCTTTGAGGTAGGGGTTACATCTGTGTACATCGTACCCTTCTCAAACCTCACTTTGTGGGACTATACTGAGTATGTTGTTGTTGTTAAAGTGAATTGGATATACTTGGTAAAACTTAAAATGTATTTGATGAGAATATTTTTCGTAAAGAATTGTTTTTTACCCCGGTAATTTGTTGGATATAAAAGTAGGTGATATTTGGTAATTGTACAAAGTGGTGGATTGGGTATGAAGATGGTATTTTGGTGATATTTCTGAGTAATTAAGGTTGAAATATTAATGAAACAAGTAAATATGGAGTATGAATTAGAACATTTGCGAAGAAAAATGATTTCTACCCGTAGGTAATAGAAGCCATTTTCCCGTTTTGGTAAAAGATTATCTCTTTCTGAAAGGATTTTCTATAATTCAAGGTCGGGAAAATGCTGGAAAATGATATCATCATGAGAAACTGTTTTTCGCAATACTGAACAATAACTTTTAGGTAATTAGGCCGCTGAGCCAATGACTCTAAAGGTTAAGTTGATCCTTTCGTTTCTCTTTTCATGCTTAAGTTCTTTATCTAGGTAAGTTGTCGTTGGTATCGCCCAAAAATGTTTTACGAAAGTAAAATGCTTCCAAGATCAACTTTTTAGTGGGCTATAACAGTTGGTGTTGTGTAACAGCAGTGCAGGTAGGTTGCAGTGGTGCTGGGTGATAATAACAAGTAATAAGAGGAAAATAATGTTTGATATATTGGTAGGAACTGTGGTATGGAGAAGGATAGAATTATTTTTGGCAATCGAGCTTGCGGCTATATTGTTTAACTATAGTTCTTATTGAACAATTATTCTGGTACCATCACCAGGTTTTGGGTATAAAGAAGTACAATTGTGTGAACTTCCATTCCAACTGTTAAAAAACAAAAATCAGAATTATCTTAGCCTTCTTAGCTGAGCCCTGCATTAACATGCTCTATTCAGGTACAAGTGATCGATCCAATTTAGGGGTGAGAAGACGTTTTTGACTTTGGCAACTTTTTCTGAAAGGTAAAATGTCGTGTGAACCAGAATATGATGCTGCTCGTGGGGTTCTTAGTTTTCTCGATGTGGACCAACTTTTTAGTTCCAACTATTACGGTGACAGTACACAGCATGACATTGAAATCTGTCATGAACAATATTCCACAGAAAACCCTTATCACCCATCATATTGCAACGTTGACAATGATGAGGTTATTGCTCATGCTCTACAAGAAGAATGGTCAGAGTTGTACATTACAAAAGATGCTCAATCTTCACATGCAGATGACCAGTACTTGCAAGCCTCCACTGGTGTACAGCATTGGCATGGTTCTCCAAGGGTGTACTATGCTGGTATATTTCTTGTTTTCAATTTTGGGATTGTCTCTCGAGTTCAAACATTCGCTAATATGCATATGATTCCACAGGGCACGATGCTGGCGTCGAAGCTAATGATGTAGGGCCTTCAAGTTCTTGCTCTAGTCCTGGAGACAGATCATACGATGGAGAAGAGTATACTTACACATTGGAAATACAAGATGAATTTGAGATTGATGGAGAAGTAGGGAAGAGAATAAACCAGCTGAGTGCTATTCCTGTAAGTGTTGTGTCTGTTAGTAAATTGTAGAAGCTTTGATGAGCTTGAAATTGCCCTATTCTTTGGGACTTCCATTGTAACTTTTTGAGTGGCTGCTTTGTGCAAGTACCGAGACAACTAATTCACTTTGTGTATGAGGACTTGTATGGTGTTCTGTACCTGTGCCCATTTACTTGGCACTGGTTACATATAGGTTTAACTTTGTTGAATTAATAACATCAGATCATTAGCCTCTTAAATCAGCAGCCAACCAGCTACCCAATTATTTCTATTCATCTGGATACTGCCTGTAATATATTAAAGGATATGATAAACCATATTCATTTTTTCAAGAATAAGTACTTGATAAAGATAGAGACGTTAGATGAAATTGTCTTTACAGTCATATACATACTTGGTATGTTGTGAATGGACTGAAATAGGAAGCCTTTAGCTTTGACCATGTAGACTTTTTTGTGTGGATATACCTTCTTGAATGTTTCTTTAGTTTCTTATAACAATTTGTATTATTATCCGTGCAGCATGTTCCTAGAATAAACGGAGACATACCTTCAGTCGATGAAGCAACATCTGACCACCAAAGGCTGCTAGATAGGTATCTCCTGATCCCTCCGACTTAGGTTTTCAAGTGAACATTTTTTTGTTTTTGTTTATGAAGAACTTAATGACATATTTTCTAAAGGTAGTGCTTTGCTTAATTCTCTCCAAAGTCCTGAGAACTTTTCAAGCTAATGAAATAAAGCTTCACTGAGAGAAATGTAAACCTGTCTTGATAGCGATCTCATGTCTCCAGAAGCCTTTCTGTGTCTTCTTTTCTTAGGTTTTTCCTTTCTTTATTAGTTGCCTTTCTAATTCCTGGTGGTTCCTACTGCCTGCTATTCGAAAAGTAACACCTAACTCCTGAAGCATTTTAGAAAAAAGCAAATCAAATAGGAGAGATGGGACTTGAGAAAAGCACAGGAAGCAATTGGTGTGCATTGAGCAAGCTAGGCCTTCTGTTGCTTTGTATACTTATGAAGCACATTCAAGTAGATATTGTGAACTCTATAACCATAAAGCCACAGGACACCATGAATGTGTTTTTTCTTTTTGGTTTTACTCCACATAAGTATAATCTCAAGTTGATATTTTTTCTAATTCAATTGATTGGTAATATTATTGCTCTAAGTTATTTTCTGCTAAGCATCCCATGCTCTGGTTTTTCTAACGTCAGGTTGCAATTATTTGACTTGGTGGAGCACAAAGTGCAAGGGGATGGAAATTGTCAGGTTACCCTCTTACCTGGTTGATTTGTGTTGTAGTAATGATACCAAACTGTCTAGATGGGACTTTCATGAGTTGATTTTAAGTTGAAGCTAAATATTTATACTTCCGTTTCTCAAATGACTTGTGGCATAGTTATTAATCATACACAAAAGAAGGCACCACAATTGTTTCAAGTTTGTATTGAGAACTCAAATGAGCTATTGTTGGGCTGCTTGCCCTGCCAAATTATTATAATTTGTCGTGAAATGTCAATAGTTAGACAAACGGACAATTCAAATTTTCTTAACCTTATACTTTTATGGGGTTTGGAAACTTGGCCCAGTTTTCCTTCTGTGGGATAAGTCTTCTCCCGGGGATCTAAACTTGTTAAAATAAGGTGACATCCTATATGTTTCTTTTGCACATCTACTGACCTGTTCACTTTTGTTCCAGTTCCGTGCTTTATCAGATCAAATCTATCGTGGTCCAGAGCACCACAAGTTTGTCAGACAGCAAGTAGTCAATCAGGTGCTTGTTTAAGTGAATACGATTATCTTCTTTTTGATACTCTGGTTTCATACTTCAATTATTTCAAAAATTCGAATGCATTTTACTAAATGGGTTTTGTAAAATCATTTGGTCTGATCAGCTTAAAGAGCATCCGGAGATATATGAGGGGTATGTCCCAATGGCATATGATGAATACTTGAAGAGGATGTCCAAGTAATTAACATACCTTTGTTTCTCTATGTTGAAACTTCTTTTCTCCTTTAATCTAAATCTGCTTTTAATTTGGTCGAACCAGGAATGGGGAATGGGGAGATCATGTTACGTTGCAGGCTGCCGCTGACTCGGTATTGATTATTGCCCTTACTTTGCTTCCTTGGTTTTTTTTCTCCATTTGATTGCTGTCTTTTGATTTGTTTCCTTACCTTGGAAATAAGAACTTTAAGCTATTATTCCTGACGACAATTTGAATGTCCTGGTATAATAGAGGCATTGGATATTCTAGTAGCTTGTTAATTGGAAGTTGATGGGTAAGAGGAAGTAACACGCTTCTATATAATCTTTGCTCATGGTCCTGTATTTATTTTTTAATGTGGAAGAAAATGCACGTTTGCGTCCCTCTGTCTTGCAGTTCCTTCTTTCACTCTGTATTTTGTGTGGTCTTGATGCATTTTTCTAGATTTTGCTTGTGGTGATATTAGATGAGAATGTATTGGTTTGTGAATGAACTTATTTCTGTTGCACATTGACTTTGTCTTTTGCCTTGTGGGCAGTATGGCGTGAAAATTCTTGTTATAACGTCATTCAAAGACACATGTTACATTGAGATCCTTCCGAAGAATCAAAAGTCAAACAGAGGTAACTAGTTCTCAAATTTTCAATTGCTTTTACCTTTCTGTAAAGTATCCTCTATTTCAACTAATGTGATTGAACAAGTTTTGATTTTTAAAAACAAGAAAAAGAATTTGGAAGTGGGAGTGGCATGGCTCCTAATTCTCAATTTCTGTTCATCTTAATTACAATTTCGCAATGCTGCACGTACTTCCTATTTGCAGTTAAGCATGTTCTCTGTTAGGGGAAGTAGTTATTCTTTGACTAGCCACTTTCCTCTTTTTCAATGGAATAGGATTGAGAGGGGGGATCGCGAGTCATGTGGAGAATGCAAATAGTATCTTTTTAATCCTTGGGACTGTAATGTTAGAACCTTGGTTTCCTTGATTAAGTTTTTTGGAAGTGTAGGGAGGAATGAAGAGAAAATCTTATCATAAGTTAGATGACTATGAAACAATCTTTACGCACGAGCATTCCTTTCTATTCTTAGAGGCATAAATTTGTTAACTTGAACATATTGAGTGAGTAGTGACAATGGAAAGTTTGAATGTTTAATGAATAGGGACAAACTTAAAACTTTATATTGGTTACGCATGCATGTTATATTTTCTATGCTCTGGTATACTTCATACCTCTACTAACTATGAAAACAAGTGTAGACATCTCAAAGCAATGGATACTGTAAATCTGGATATTGCTCGGAACAGGACTCGAAGTATGTTTTTTTTTTTGTACACGTGCATTTTGTGGGGGTCATGGTGGCTACAAACTAGATGAAAGAGCAGTGTTTGAAGTCTTGATATCTTGATTCCGTCAAAGAAACTTAATTGCTTCTCTTGTTCTTCTCTTTGTGCAGTCATATACTTGAGTTTTTGGGCGGAGGTGCACTACAACTCAATCTACCCTCAAGGAGGTTATTACTTTTGTACATTTTCCCCCTCTTTCCACATGATTTGTTTTAGCATTGATAAGTCTATATGAAGGTAGAAAATGAAGATCTTGAAAAGCTGGAGGGGTCCTGAATTAACATATACTCCCTTCCTTCTCGTTTACGTGACACTATTTCCTTATTAGTCTACTCCAAAAGATCGACACAGTTGTATATCTAGAAACAATTAATTGTGTACTTCAATTTCACACCTAATCAGAAATGTTATGGTATGTCATCTTAAAACCACGAGTTTCAAAATTCTTCATTTCTTTCTTGAACTCCGTTTTGATTCAAAACTATGTCACATAAATTGGGACGAGGGATGTAGTATTGTTTATCACTTACTTTCTTCATTTATATTATCCTAATACTGTTAGTTTAATGCTGCATTCCAGACTTTCTGCCATGTGATGATTTTAAGAAGAAGAAGAAGAAATGGAGTTTCTGGAACAAGCATTAAGAGTTCTTGACCTGTTTATTCAAAGCTAAACACTACCTACATGCAATGGCAACATCCCGGCTACGGTACAGAGGTTCCGGGTCAAGTACTTACTTTACATTACAACAACAGCTATGCCTCAATCCCGAGCAAGTTGGGATCAACTAACTTTGCATTATTTTTAAAATATGATAAATAATACTTACTTTATATTCTTATAATTATTCACATAATTATTAATATAGAACTAGTTTGTTCTAAGTTGGCATAATAAGATCATATTGTTATATTCATATCTTGTTTCTCTTCAAACAGTGTGCTCCACATGCACATCTCTCCAGTTAGCATAATGGTATATACAAATTAAAGATTTTCCAACTCTCACCTGGTTAAATTAAAGAGTTACTCAATATAAGAAACGTCAATCTTTTTAAAATATATTAATTACGGTAAATATCTTATATGTTTTCCAATTGAAAAAGTCACATTGTAAGAGAAACTATGCGTATCTACAATTTGAAAAGTTATTTATGAAAGATTAAATGTATCCTTCATGCCTCCTCACAACTATATCCATCTAATCCACAATAAAAAATAAATACATTGAATCATCATAAAAAACTGACTAGCCGACTCTTCTACCTTTCTGCGAGTCGAAACAAAACATGTAATATAGCTATCAAAACAAAACTTGTAACATAGTTAAAGAGCTAGAGTAATGCTTGTAACGAATAAAGATTAATTTCACTTTCAAATAAAATCGTATAGTTATTATAAAAGCAAGATTATGAATTCACAAATAAAATTTGATATATCATAAACTCTTTAATTTCAAAATACAAATTTTCTTCTTATTTTAATATTTCATCCATTCAAACTTAACATAAACTATTAAAATGAACAAAAGATTCAAAGAACATTACATTTTGAGTAAATGTAACAACTTCCTTATCCATGAACAATAATATTTATTTTTACAAATACAAAAAGAGAGTTACTACTAATAAAATATATATATATAAAAAATTAACATTTAACCCCTAAATTAACCTATTTTACTAAATTCCCCAAAACCCAAAAAGTTGGACCCTCTTTTGATCCTTTCCAATCTTTTAGATATGGCAAAAAGGGACCTACAAAAGTCTAGTAACTGACACATTTAGTCCAAAAAAAGCTGCCATTAGTCTATAGCACAAAAACAAAAAGATAAGGATTAAAACTTATCCATATCTCTACTGTTTCCCATCTTCTCCGGCGACTTTATCCTCACCCTCATCGGCGGTCACCGGCTGTAAAAGCAACGCCGTAAACGGCATATGTCGATACGCATTGCCGGAAAATTCCAACGACGGTTGGCACAAATCAAGCCGGCAATTCGGCTGCGATTGCGGAGCCATAGAGAAAAATCCACCACCGACCGGAAATCCAGAAACCGGCGTAGCTCGTGTCAACGGAGCTAAAACCGACGGTTGTGACTGAGACAACGGTATGTTTTCCGACGTCGTAGTGACTTGAGTCGCCGGAATCGTACCTGTTCCTGTAGCAGCGATGATTGCTGGTTCAGCGTTACGGAGAAGCCACTCTATCGTTTCTCCGTCAGTCCTATGACCTAGTTCCTTCGTTAATTGAAAAACACGCGCCGCGCATAACGCCGGCATCCTTACGCGCCGTCCTCTTCCATTGACCTTTGTATGTCTGTCTTTGCTGGATGAAACGGATAACGCATTCCTCTTCTTCGTCGGAACCACTGCAAGGGCAGTTTTGTCATTTGCTTCTGAGTTAACGGTACCGTTTCCGGCGCCGGAGATTGCACCGGAAACAACTATTTCTGAACCCATTTTTAGGGTTTTTTTTTTAATGGAGGGAAAAGTAGTACCTTGTGCTTTAGGGATGAATTTTGATTTTGATAGACCCCACAAAAATGGAAAAGAGTTTATATAGGAAAAAAATTGATGTGAGAGTTTCTGTATCTTCTTGGAAAGTGTGTGAGGACTGAAAGGGCCCATTAACCTTCATGGGCCCAATACTGTGTTGTGGGTCCCACTTCAGACAATTATTCTTTTTTTAAAAAAATTGTTTGAAAAATTAGAAACAAATTTGTTGAAATAACAACATAGTAATTTATTTTTTTGGGTTTTGCATTTGTATGAATAAGGGGATGAGAGAAAAGAATGCATATATGGAGATTTTGTACTTGTGAGTGTATGAAAAGATAGTTAAGGTTATAGTTATGATATTAAGGAAAATTTAACTACTACAGAGAAATGGTGATCTCGTTTCATTTGTTCAGGAAGTTTTTGAATTATTTTTTCTAGTTAGATAACGAGTGATTATTTCAGTTAGAAACTCATATTTTAAGTAGGCGTTTGTCCATGCGATACCATATCACGATATGGTATCGTGAGATGGAATCAGCGTTTGGACATGCGATTTTACGCTGATTCCATCTCATGAGATATGATTCTATATTCTCCAAAAACCATGATACGGAATTTCATTCCATATCATGATTTGAGATATTTTAATATAAAAATTGATCCACGAGTTTATATTTTGTTAAAACAACTCCATATTTATATTTACTAACAAATTATTTCATATGTAAATAAAATTTATCACATCATTACTTTTTAAAATTTATTATTCTCACTGACATAAAATTTATTATTCTCACCAACATATAGTCTTATGTGCTTGTGATTTTGATATGTGATTTACCTTTGTTGTTGCTGGTTGAGAAGGTACTGCATGTGATAGTAAAGTACTTGAGAATGCACTTGTTGAACCAACGTCACAGCTTCCATTTCCACCTCATGTAACTTTAAATTACATCCTTAGAATAAATATTATTTATTTACACAAAACTGTCTCATTTACGTCACATATGCTTTTAGTAATTCTTTATAAAATGTTTGTTGGTAAATAAATATTATGTCGTTGATGTTGGTTTTCGATACACAAAAGGATTTTTAGCTCCATACAAAGGACTACGCTATCATTTGCAAGATTACCGAGGAGGTGAAAGAGAGCCTCAAAATGCCAAAGAACTGTTTAATTATAGGCATTCATCTCTGCGCAATGTGATTGAACGGACTTTTGGAGCTTGGAAAAATAGATTTAGAATACTGAAACAAGGCATGAACCATTATGATATTGATACACAAGTGAAAACTGTCATAACTTGTGCAGTGTTACATAATTATTTGTGAGAATACCAAAGTACTGATGAAATATTTATGGTCTATGAGCATGAAAATATAGTTGCGGATGATATTGACCAACAAATGGCTCAAAGTAACAATGTTGGTTCATCTTCTCGGTCACATGATCAAGAAATGCAAGTTCAACGTGAGGAAATTGCCTGTACTATGTGGGATGATTATATTAAAGACTACTACACTACAATCTATGTTCAATTTTTTTTTATTAAATTAAAATTAGATGAAAGAATTACTTAAGTGGAGAACAAATAGTTTTGTAATAATTTATTATGCGATTTTATAAATTTTTGTTTATTTGATAAGATTGAATAAACAATTGGGGCTATTTTAATAGTTTTACAACTTATGAAATTTTTATGTTTATGAGAAAATATACGACACAAAAATTTCATATCACATGTCCAAACAAAACTTCAATTTCATCTCATGATTTCATATTGCATGGCCAAACGGGCTCTAAATTTAATGATCTTAATAAATCTCCTACTATAGTTTGTCTTGGATCAATTTAAAATTATTTTCAATTCAATATAGTTGTATAGCCGTCATAAATCCTATTGTATTCATTGACATATATCGACTTTGTTATACCATTTCATTATAAATAAATGATCATATCATAGATTCATTGGGATTTTGAAAATATAAATATGATTAGAATGAAAACAGTAATTCTAGTCGACATTTGTATATCTCGTTTCCTTGTAGCACTAATTAAAAGCGACTGAAAAATGAAACATATATTCTTCGTTAATAAAAATATGAGTATAGGCTGAAGGACTGATACTATTCAATACTCGCTTTAAATTTTAATTAATATGAATGTATTAGTTGTTATAGGGAAAGACTATTAAACAATGCATTATCTTTATTACATTTTATTTATTAGATTTTTTACAAAAAAATAAATGTGCTAAAACATTTATTGTTTTAGAAAATAAAAAAGATTTAATTTTTTTCCTTCAATTTTATCTTGCTTTAATGGTTGTGGAGAAGGATTGATATGAGGTTCTGAAAACCATGAATTATATTATAAAGTTAATTAGATAGTTAAGCATTGTCTCTCGACTTTCACTTATTGTTATGTGTTATTAGTCATAACATTACTTTTGTAATTTCTTATGTTTTGAGTTTAGTTAGTAGCTATTTTATTTTTTGTATTTCGGTTATTATCTTATTATGATTACTGTTTAGATTGATGTGTCAAGTTTTTATAGTATTTTGTCATTACTTCTTTATTTTTGCGTTTTTTTTCTCTAGATTGTTTTGACTGTTATTTCTTCTGGAGTTGAGGGTCTATCGAAACAATCTCTCTATCTCCAAGTTAAGGATAAAATCTGCATACATTTTATCCTTTCCAAACTTTACTTTATGTAATTACACTTAATATAATTGTTATTGCATTTTTTTATGGGTAATGAATAGAGTAAAAGATTAGCAATATTATATGGTAAAAGTGTGTTAACAATGTTACTTCCCCTAAATATGAATAAATAAACAATGTCCCAATTAGTCATTCTAATTAATTACTTTGCTTGACTGAAATGAGTAGACAATGTTGGTGTTTGATATGATTTTGGTTTAATTATGAGAATTTAGATTTTAAGAAGTTTTTTGAAAGGTAATTAGGAGAGAATATGTATTTGGATTACACTTGAGAAAAATGTGTCTGACGAATATTTATGGTATTTTTAAAAAAAAATATCTAATGGGAATTTTATTCTATTTAAAATATCTTTTGACTTGATTCTTGCAAAATGAATAACTTATCTAATATATATAATGAGAAATACACCATGATTAATGACTAACTTATCATATTTTGCATCTCTCAAATCTTACCTCCATTTAAACTCCATTATGAATTTTACATCATCACAATTCAAATATTCAACTATTATAGAAGGAAATCAAATTTTCTTGTGTTATCTAAATTGTTAGATATTTATAATTACACACTAAAAATTATAATTATATCAAAAGGCAAATGAACCTCACTATCAAAATATTTTAATTTTATAATTTGAAATATATCAGGTG